AAGAAGGGGGGATGCCACACAGTGGTAAAAATGGACTTGTCCCAACTTTTTGGGATTTGTTGACGCCATGAAATTTGGAAACAACAGATTTTTCTCTTAAAATGATACATTCTCTCAGTTTAAACTTTTCATCTGTGATTTGTGTTCTATTCTGAATAAAACATTAGATGTTGGCACCTCCACATCATTGCATTCAGTTTTTATTCACAATTTGTTTAGTGTCCTTACTTTTTTGGAATCCGGTTTGTAATTTTTTTATTTTTTTTACTTTCAAGGGTTCAAAATGTAGAAGTGTATGGCTGTAGAAACACAACGGATGGCTATTATGCGCTTTTTATCATTTAAAGTAAATCTACCAGAGAAAAAAAAAAACAGACAAACGTTTTTTCTTTTCTTGTTTTAATGACATTTGCATCTTTGATGGTAACATTGAATCTTTTCTCCTTTCATTTAAAACACTTTGATCCCAATGACCCGGCTGTCTGATGAGATGGTGAGTACTGGTAGGTGGGTGCACGAGCTGAAACTATTTTACAGCTGATCCACATCAAATCATTGTTATGGTGCAGGATGAAGTTTAAAACAAAGTCCTTTTTTTCTCTTAAACTAAATCACCGCTCACAACAAACAATACATGTTTACATCCTGCTGTCACTTGCAGATTTTCCATTTTTCGTAGTCTTGTTTAACCTTTTCTTTGCAAAAATACACATGCACTTTTGTACATTCCTTTAACTATCTTACTCAGTTGCACATTTCTTTGAATCGGAGTATGTCATTTAAAAAAACGCACAGTAATTTTTCTTATGCTGTAAATTTGCCCTCACTGCACAGTCTTACTCATGTTTTAATATTTTTAGCTTTGTGTGAATCTGCATTCTTCCATTTGCCTGTCACTTTGCTGCTGATACGCCTGAATTTCCCCACTGAGGGACAATAAAGGTTATTTCTATTCTAAATGAAAGCCAATAAAAGCTCCTAAAATAACAAATTCTGTCAGGAAGGCCAGCCTTAGTTTCAAGTCAAGCTCCCAGCTGAGCTCTACACTGAGTGATAGCTTTCATTCCACTTTAATAAGAACTTATTTAGACTCTTTTAGAACAAACCATGTCTTTATATAGTAGTAGAAACTATAGTAATAAAGAGGAAACCTGTAGCAAAATGTCTCCTACTGGTTTAAGCACCAATAATACACCTGCCTTTAGGATGTCTGACACCGTAACTAATAAAAAGTAAACATGTTTATGTAAAAAAAAACCTCAAACATCTATTCATGAGGTTTTAACTTTCAAATACAATCATGAAAACCTCATAAAATGAATTTGTTTCATCTTAAAAACATGCCATCAGTGTTCCGTACATTTCCCCACTTTGCTGCATGTCTGTTTCTTGACAGCACGGACAGTTGAGCAGCGTCCCAAATATTTGACTGTGATCAAACGAAAAGAAGTCCAAAGAAGTTTGCTCTTTAAATTAAAGAAGTGTATGAAAACCAGCAGACAGTGCAGCTCTTTTTAATCAAACTGTACTCCGAGCGATTCATGCGGTGACAGCAAGAGCCCGTTATTTCTTCTTAGGTGCGTTCGGTGTGTTAAATTTGAAAAAGATAATGTCACCGTCCTCCACGATGTAGTTCCTTCCCTGCTGTCTGTATTTCCCAGCAGACTGGGGAAGAGCACATAATGATCAAAAGTAAATTAAAATCAATTAAAATGTTTAAATTATTAAATATATTGTGCAGCAGGGTAAACGCACCTTGACTGCAGTTTCGCTCCCTTCCTCTTTAAAGTCGCTGAACTTCATCACCTCAGCCATGATGAAGCCCTTCTCGAAGTCCGTGTGGATTTTTCCTGCAGCCTGAGGAGCCTTGGTGCCTTTCTGTTGGAGCACAACACGACATCTCACACAAAGTCTAAAATCAACACAACGTTTGAGAGTTCAGGTGCAGAAAGCAAACTTCATTTAGATCACAGAGTTTGTGATGATTTGTAGCAAAAAGTTTTTAAAAACCGAGTTGATTTCAGAACCTCAAACAGCTCTGGGGGAGTTTAACACAAATGAGGAAGAAAATTCTTGTTTTTTTTTGTGTGTGATTGAAACAGATTTAATAAAAACAAAATGAAATGTCAGAATATCGTACGTTTAATATGCCCAACAATGTTCAGTCAGGTCATCTGGACAGTTCCTTTTTTTTTTTTTTTATTTGTTGAGAGATGTCTCGCCGTCCATCCAAAGGGCTTCATCAGTCTGAGGAGTCACAAACAAACCAAGCAGTACACTCCTACAGTGAACCAACCAGTTTGCTGGTGATCAGATGGTTTCTGGGTCCTCTCCCCTGTCGGCTCCTCCCAAGCTGCAACAGCCAAACTGGTTCAAGACATCAAGGTTCATCATGCCACTGTTTGCTCTCCATCATTCAGATGGAGGGCGAAACGTCTCCACAAAATGAAGAAACTGTCCAGATGACATGACTGAACATTGTTGGATTTTTTACCTGGATTATTGAGCATGAATTTTGACGTTTAATATACATTTTAATACCAAAGTCAATGCTCAATAATCCAGGTATAAAATGCAACAATGTTCAGTCAGGTCATCTGGACGGTTTCTTTTTTGTGTGCCGAGACGTTTCACCCTCCATCCAGAAGGCTTCAAGGTTTTTCACTTTGGAGAAAGCTGTTGGGGGAGAAGAAGTTTTGTTTGGTGTTCCTTCAGACTGATGAAGCCTTCTGCACGGAGGGTGAAACGTCTCAACTAAAACAAAAAATACACCGTCCGGATGACACGACTGAACATTGTTGGATACATTTTAAACTTTTGAAATTCTACTCTAAACAAGATGTTTGTGTCATTTTTAATTGTACCTTTTCTTTTACAAATCTGTTTTTTCTAATAACTGAAGAAAAAAAACTGAACACACTTCATAATCCATTCAGAGTTCATCTAAACTCAATAATCCTCCCAGACATGAACAGATGTCTTTGAAAGAGTAAAGAGATATTCTTGTCATTTTTGAAGTGATGTTCTGTCAAACCTCAGTTATTAATGCGCATGCTCAAACTCGGTACTTTGCAATGCATTGTGGTCTAAACAGGTCCGTGTTTACGTTCGGTTTGTTGAAACACATTTAGTGTAAACGGTGTTCATGTCTGTTCCTGCTGCTCTGCAGTCAGACGCCCAGCAACGTTGCTCACATCGTAAAATATCAATAAAACTAATTAACAAATTAGTTTGTATACAAAAGTAAATAAAGCAGGTGTAAAGAACAGCTAAAAGTATAATAAATAAATATGTATATGAGCTGCTGCCTCTCAGCGAGCAGGTCGCTCTGGTTCAAATCCCCGCCGGGGGTCTTGATGAGTGGAGTTTGCATGTTCTCTCCGTGCATGTGTGGGTTTTCTCTGGGTACTCTGGTTTCTTCCCACAGACCAGAATCATGCATGTTCGACTGATTGGCAACTCTGAATAGTCACTAGAGGTAGGTGTGTGTGTGTGTGAGTGAGTGAGTGAGTGAGTGAGTGAGTGAGTGAGTGAGTGAGTG